TATATATATATATTTGTACTTTATCTCCTTATTTGTTATCTCATCCATGAAATTTTCTTTCCGTCTTGCATCTAATGTTACTGATCACGCTTAAAAATATGGAAGGATATTTTTGCGTGTGATTCGTGGAGAGAAAGAACCTTATTTATTTGGATTTTCAATTTTATTTGTGATTGGCTAGTTTTGGTAAATCTATGATTAATGGCTAGAGGTTGGTAAGTTGAAACTTATTTGGGACATTTATGTAAGATTCCCTCCAAGATATTGAAGAACTTTCCTTCCATAATTTTCGGAGAGTCTTCTTTTGATATTGTGGTGAGCCATTGAATATTTGAAATTTGACTTTTAAATATTATTCCTTCTACGGTGCTTGGAGATTAATCCTTTAAAATAATCTTTCTTGATTATATTTTCGTTCATAAATTCATCACATGATATTCTCTTTCGCATATTTGTTTGGATCTTTACTAACTTCTTTTCCCTTGAACAAATATATGCAAGAATAAAATTACCACAAATAAATATTCTTTAATTAATAATTATTTTGGTTTAATTTGTTATCATCAAAATCAATACGTGAAACCTTGAAGCTAATACCTTGCGTAAGGATAACACGAACAAGTTGAGAAATAGTCCAAAACCGATAATAAGAATGCTGGATTTTTCGGTGCAAAGATTATCCCGAAAAAGAAGATAATCCATGGGATTTTTTTGAGGAATTCCTCACAAATACAACTGCAAAAGCTCAACACAGACATTTAGCTACTTATAATTCATTCTATAACAAAAACATATCCAAAATGATTGGACTAAAGTTCATCTCTACAGCAAAGCCTCGCAAAATACTTGCATCTTCATCTCCACCCACTGACCCTTCACCTTTTGTTCCTTCTCCTTCTAATAACTTAGACCCTTCACTCCTCAAATCCCAACCAAGACTGGAGCTGCAGAAGAAAAAGAAGCAGAATCAAAGGCAACTTTCAGTCGCAGAGATTGAAAGAGCCATTGGTGCTGGCATTTTCCGAGACAGAGATACCAGCAGGCAAATACCCTTTTACTTTATCGAACATACTACTACTATCTTGGTGTTGCTATTTTACTGAATCTTTCTGTAAAGCTTGTGTATTTTAGGAGAGATATTATCACTGTGTTAAATTTGATCATTTTGGTTTACATACTTTCTCCTAGCAAGGGAGCAAATGAATTTAAAAAGCTGAAGATACATAAGTGTAATCAAATACTGTGTAGCTAATCTAAGAAAAGATTCATTTGTTAAGGGAAGCAAAGGAGAGCAAGACTTTGTTTGATTCAATTTTGTCAAATTCTGTTGGGGAGAATGAAGCAGATGTGGAAAAGAAGCTAAGGGAAACTGGTGAATGGCTTATTGATAAAACTGAAGACACATCTGCCTCTGCTGGTAATAAATTCCTTTTATATTTACTTCTTTTATTAAATGCTTAACAATCTTGAACTTTTGTTTGTTGTCACAGGAAAGAAGATTTTAGTTGTTGTGTTCAAATGGATTCTACCCTTGTGGATTCTTGCATTTCTTGTGGCTTCTGGGATGGTCAATCTACCATTTAGCACCCCATTTCTTGATGACTTACTTCTGTAACTCATACAGACTTTATGTCTTTTATTTATAAAAAAAAACTAGCAAGGTATGCCCGTGCAATGCCCATGATTATTTTTGTTTTCTAGTTTATCTGAAGTCTTTCAGTAAAGGGTTGTTAACAACTTTGTTATTCCAAGCGTCATTGCATTATACCAACAACATATACAAAAGATATTTTTTGTACAGTCACTTTAGTTATAAATGCACAAAGTCCACTTCAAAAACTAAATAAGGAAAAAGTTGAACTTTTCTCAGTACCGGCAAATATAATTACAAAGCTGACTTCAAACAACCAAAGGACATAGAATTAGTTTTGTTTGAAAAATGTTGAAGACGGCAGAATTGGGAGCTGAAATAGAGCTTAGAATTAAAAAGAAACCAAAACATTAACATAGTCAAGTCACGTTGTTTCTATGAAAACAAACCACACTACAGATATGTACAACAAACTGGATGGAGTAAAACTACTACTATTACATAAAGCACATCCACCATCTTATGCTCTTCACAAGCATTGTTCCCATGTGAATGATTTGCTGCAACAATATCACATTTGGGATTTCAGCTGCAATAACGTGAAAGAATATTATAACATGATCAAATCTATCCCAAAATAAGAACGGGATACATTATTAACTTATGTAAACCACCTCACAATTTGAATTCCAGATTGCTACACAACCAAGTAATCAGAATATGATTCACGGTTAACAAGTATCAAATTATTAACTACTGGAACTGTCCGCAACCCTAAACCACCAAATATTTGAAATTCCAGCTACAACAGCACTAATGAATATAATAGTATCAAGAACCTTAAGAAAAATAATACTAGTTAAATATATGCTATTAACCATGAGAATTGTCTACATCATATCACCTCACATTTGGGTTTCTAGATATAAGAAAGCAATCTAATATTATGGCCAAGAAGCACCACTACTGTCTCGGGGAAAAGTTCCTTTCTAAAAGTTAAGACATCTTCAACGCTGCGTGCAGGACTATACATGGACAGTAACATTACAATCTCCCTACACATGACCACATTGCTTTTCAAAAATATTAACATCAAAATTGGCAAACACTTACAAGAACCAAAGTTATAGCTTCAATTTCTGCAAAACCAAGCAGTTATTTGCAAACACTATCATATGACAAACAAAGACATTCATAGTGTTGGTGATATTGCCATTTATAATTTGACTAATCTCCAGAATTACAGGTACCACATGTTCTTTTCTTTTCAACACCCTTGAGCTGCCAATTTCAATACCAAAACAAAATGAAAAGAAGAAATATAGACCAGGGGTTAAAAAAGAAGAAGCAAGAATAGAGAATGATATCACTTACTCTTCTTGACCCTCTATTTGTCGACATTCCTGTTCCAAGTCTTTTTATTTTGTTGAAGTAAAATTTTAAATTTGGTATAATTCTAATTTTTTCTGATACTGATAGACACAAAATTAGGCGGTTAATACCAAACTGCAATTGAAACAGATGCAAACAAATGATATATGTTTCAATGAATTTCTTGAACACAAACATAAGTAATAGCTGTTAGATTACTACATCCACAAAATATTCTCAACCACGAACAAATATCAAAGAAGTAAAACGAAGAGTGTGACTCACTAAATTGGATTTAAATACAGAATACAAACAATATTGTAACTTTGTATAACCTTTGTCGCTATTCAAGACATTCGCCTTGAGCTCTTCCACTCATAATGTCTTATGCTACTTTTACTCCATTCAGGATGACCTATGCTCCCCAAAGTGTTAAGATTTCATCAGCTCGAATATAGATGGCATTAACACTTCATATATCCTGGAGATCTAAGTGGCACAAGTAGTGAAACCTTAGGTTAAATATGTAAACACACAACATCTTCATCGCTTTTCTTAACACTTCTCTTGTTTCCAACTTTTGACCATCAATCACCTATTGTATTAAACCTCTGATGTTTTAACTTTCAAGTAATCTTACAACAAAGAGGAGCAGTTGATTTTGCTCTTCACAAGGTACAAAAATAGCGTAATAAATGTCCTCCTTCTTGTCTATTTTAATCGACCAACTTCTTCACCATCATTGGAACACTCAAGTCTATCAAAAGAAGGTCATGCAAAGAAATGGATAATCTAAACCCCCAACCTTCGGCTCAGCAATATCTTTATCTTTCAATACTCATGTTCCAAATAGTTCAATTATAACTTCATAAAATTATATTTACAATTTGGGTAATTTTGAGCAACTTTAAAGTCATCTTTATTTTTTCTTGAAAAGGTAAAGTTAGATAAAAAGTGGCACGTTTTTAAATTAGAAACAAACAGAGGCAATCTTGTAGTAGAAATACACACAATGAACGATAGAAGAGCAGTCAAAAGGAAAAAAAAAATATTATGTAGTTAATTATTTTTGACATATCGTCGAACATTTGGGGTGCCTCAAATAACTTTTTTTTTTTTTGGGATTTGCACCGGGTGTCCGAGTTTCTAAGAGCCCCGACTAATCCCGGGGTGCACAGGCCCTCGGCAAGGAGTTTCCCGCAAGTGCACCACGGTTAATTCAGGTGTTACCCAGTCCGATGACCCTCAGAAATTGTTTGCACCCAGTGGGTTTCGAACATGAGACCTTGAAAGGGAGCAAACCCCAAGGCTCAAGTCAATTGCCACCAGGCCAACCCTGAGGGTTAGGTGCCTCAAATAACTCAAACAATGAGATTTAAAAAAGAGTGTAATGTATACTACTCTAGTTCAATATTTTGTCATTTGTAATCAAGTCGTTATTAATCTTGCTTACATCACTTACTTATCCCCATACCAACAATCTTAGAGCTTCAAATAGGAATGAAGTGAGTAGATATTTGTAGAAATTAACAGAAAAATAGATAAACAAAATTCCCAAAATAAAGAGGGGAAATAGGGAATTAAGGTTGATTGCCCGAAAATAAAGTTTGTGTTCATCAAATATCAAAATTTTGTATGAATGTATCTTATTCCAAACATGTATTCTTAAATTAAATAAAGTATGTAAAAAATCCAACAAAAATGAAAAACCTATCAGAAAAGTAGATGACTGTAATAGAGGTCTACCAAAGTTCAATTAGCAACAACTGGATATCTTAAACAGAGAAAGAATGCCGAAAAGCTCACAAGGACAGAGAAGGCGGCATGCACAAAAGACATCAGCGAACTCCAAGAGAAAAGGAAGATAGAAAAAGTTGAGAAACTCACTCGAAGAGGTAGACGACCTTTGAAGGAGAAGGAGAAGAGCATATTATTTTTATCTCTGAAACTGAAGCAGGAGACGGAAACCGTATGAAAGTTGATTTTGAGCGTTCTGGAGCTGGAGACATAAGAGTGTTTCCTATGTGAAGTCAAACCAATTTAGGGAAATTAATAACTTTTTGCTGAGAGAATGAATAACAAAGAAGATATCAAAATGTCAAACTGGCAGAGAAAGAGAAAGAGCAAGGACGGACTAAAAAACAAATGAGAAGAATCAGAAGTGGAAGTAAAGTGGAAATTGAAGTGAGGGTAAATAAATTGAATCACCAATGATATCAATACAAATCTAAGGTACGTACAATCCAGGTTACTTTTTGCACAATGATGTAATGCTGCGTTCGTACACTCTTCTCTCGCTTATATATATATACTAGTAAGGTTCAGCCCGTGCTGTGCACGGCCCAACATGACTAATTTATTTTAGCAGCATCTACAAAAGGTATTTTGTGATAAAACAATAAAAGTAGAAGAACAATATTGCAGAGAAAGAGAGAGAAAATTCTTATTGAATTTTGGGATGATCTACAATGGGGTAAGATCCCTCTATTTATAGGGAAAAAAATGACTTAGCCACAAAGTAAAACTCTCTACAAGATAGACATTCACTCTAAATAGAATTCTATTCATAACACTCCCTCTTGAATGTATACTCGATAAGTAATGTGCCTCATTAAAACCTTAACTAAAATAAAATCCAATGGGAAAAAAATTCTAGAAAAGGAAAAAGAGTACACATCTCTAATAATACGCCTTTTGATTGCCTCGTTAAAAATCTTTCAAGGAAAACCTAGTGAGACAAAACCTTGTAAGGAAAAAAGAGTGCAACGCGCATTAACTCCCCCTGATGAAAGTATCAATTCACATCCTTGAGCTTTCGCATCCCGATTTTGTACACTAGCTTCTTGAAGGTTGACGTTGGTAGAGATTTTGTGAACAAATCAGCCATATTATCACTTGAACGAATATGTTGCACATTGATATCACCATTCTTTTGAAGATCATGTGTGAAAAATAATTTTGGCGAAATGTGTTTTGTCCTATCTCCTTTTATGAATCCTCCATTCAATTGAGTTATGCATGTTGCATTGTCTACATACAAAATTGTGGGTAACTAGTCACATTTCAAACCACATTTGTCTCGAATAAGATGTATTATAGACCTCAACCACACACACACTCGACTTGCTTCATGAATAGCAATTATCTCGGCATGATTAGATGAAGTAGCCACAATTGATTGCTTAGTCGATCGCCAAGATATGACAGTGCCTCCACAGGTAAATACATAACCTGTTTGAGATCGAGCCTTGTGTGGATCGGATAAATACTCAGCATCGGCATAACCAACCAGATCGGGACTGCAATTGTTGCCATAAAATAAGCCCATATTGGTAGTCCCTTTTAGATACCGCAATATGTGTTTGATTCCATTCCAATATCTCCTTGTAGGAGCAGAGCTATATCTTGCTAAGACATTAACTGAAAAATTTATGTCAGGCCTTGTAGTATTAGTAAGATACATTAGTGCACCAATTGCACTAAGATATAGTACTTCAGGATCAAGTAGCTCTTCATTCTCTTCTTGAGGCCGGAATGGATCCTTATTCACATCAAGTGATCGAAAAATCATCGGAGTACTTAATGGATGTTCTCCATCCATGTAAAACCGTTTCAATACCTTTTCTATGTAGGTAGATTGATGAACAAAAATTC